ATACATTATACTGAAGTTATGCTGACTGGTCTGTAATTGGAGGCCTCACTGTATGGCGGTTTTTTGGGCAGGGGGGTAATTAGAGACTGGGTCCACCTTTTAGGTACCTCAGATCGCATGAAACTCAGGTTAAATATGTACTCCAATGGACTACTAATGATGTGTGCCACTTTTCTTAATGAAGGATAGGGGAATAAAGTCTGGCGTCAAGGACTCTGAATTAGGCCATTTTAGAAGGGCTTCCAAAATCTCATCTCTGTGAAACCAGACAGAATCTCCCATCGCGGGGAATTCGTTGGTTAATAGTGAAACCACCGCTTGCTCACTATCTCCGAAGTATGTTTCAAAAGTGGAAGCCAGTAACTCAGCTCGCTCAACATCATCAAGAAGAACTCTCCCAGAAGGAGCACGCAAAGCTTGCAACCTTGACTTACGCTTTAACCGAGACTTCACTAGCTTATAAAACGCACTCTTACAGCGAGAAGACACAACTCTCTTCTCAACAGACGCATTATATTTCCGAAGTTTAGACTCGAAAGACTTCTGAATTTTCCCTCTTGTTTGACAGCCGTTCCAGAAATGGTGGCAGATTTGATTCCCTCAATCTTTTCTTGCTAACTGGGACAAAAAGTTCAATGGCATGTGTGAGAATTGCAATAAATAGTTCGTATTTATCATCTACTGATTGAGCGCTATTGAGAGAACCAAACCAGTCAACTCCTTCGAGATATGAGCAAATCTTATTGTAGTTAGCTAATTTGAAATTACGCTTGACTATTACAGATGCAATAGGTACACACGCATTAATTTTGAAGTGCAGCGAATAATGATCACTGGAACCTATCGGAGACCTTACTTGCAAATCTGAGACTATGCTCGTATCATTAGACAACACAAGGATCAAGAACATGTTTTCCGCGCGTACTATCCTCAACCAGCTGTTTAAGGCCATAGTTATCACATAATTCCAGAAAGTCTCGAGCGGAGGAACCGCTCATTACATAGGTGTGCCATGCCAAACTATCTCTGGAAAATTAAAATCTCCGGTCAAGATGCAGGGCAGGCTGCAGGATACAACAATATCACTAAGCTTTGAGTAACTGTTCAGATAAGGCGGCCGTGCAATTAGGGGTTCTGTAGACTATTATAACACGTATTGGGCCACTACGTAACTGGCAGCAAAGAATCTCGTAAAATCGCCTGGGCAGTAATGACTCACTGAATACTACGTGAGGCATAAGAGAGGTGCGAACCAATAGGGCCACGCCCCCTCCCCTTTTGAATCCACGATCTAATCTCACTCTGTACTGACAACAACTGCCACTCAGAAACGGGTTAAATCAATAGTAGGCTTGAGCCAAGTTTAGGTCAATGCAAGGATATCCAAGCCTTTTTTCAAGGATTACTGCAAGGAGCATCCTTATTTCTCATGATTGATCTAATATTAGCCACCGCACAATTCAAATATGATTTGTTTTCCATTGAGGCCCTATACGTTTACCAGATCAGCGTTCGATGAAACAATAACTTCAGAGGAATCAGAAATTGTGAAAGGAGTTTGACTGGAAGCAACAGCAGTTCCATTAACAGAAGAAGATTGTAACTGAACATCATGAGCACGAGCAGGAGAGACAGAATTTATGCGAGCGAGCCTTTCGGCCCTCAAATGATCTCTTTCTAATTTAGACAGTGAGGGTCTAACATAAATCCCTTTCTCTTTAAAATACCTCAACGGGGGAGCTCTTCTTAATTGTGAGCGATGCAAAGAAAGATGCCGGGAAAACAACTTTAAGAAGCCTAGCCTTGTTGAGGGTCATACGCCCCATTCTATAGAGAGCAATCGGGCGACAATCAACTCTCAAAAAGTCAAGAATTTGCCTAACAGACGAAGAATCATATAAACGCGATCGGACGACACAGGTGAATTACATTCCTTAACACCGACAATCACAATCGAACGCCTACGTTCTAATTCTTCATAATTGTGAGGAGAAGAATTGACTTGAGAATCAACACGAACGTTAGTAGAATTCTTAGATGAAGCCAAAGCTTGTTTCAAAAGAGTTATTTGTGACTTCAAACTATCAACTTCTTCTTGCAATTCATTGTTCCTAAGACGCATGCAATTATTTTCTTCCACGAGTTCCTTATTTCTTTTTACACTAGCGATTTGGTCCTTCATCTCTAAGAGAAATCCCATGGCCGTTTTGAGATGCGGCGGCAAGGAGGAATCACCGATAATAAGATCGATCGCACGATCAAGGTCCATCTCGCCTGGGCTACTGAGATCCATTCTGTGTTTTTTCCCCCGGCGACCCTGAATGGGAGCAGGAGCTGAAGGCGTATCCATTCGACAAAAGAATCACTAAATCAGAGCAGATTCACCTGTACCGGTGGCTTCGTAACAATTATTTCCCCGCCACAAGGGAGTGCTCGAGTATTCCTAGCGTAGGGCAAAACGATCCAATCGAACGAATCAATGAACGCGGATTCAATAGATCGCCCAACGCAAATAACTAGTAGACTGGTTACCCGACGTCTTCAGGAAAGAATAGCAGTGTAGAATATGACAGACGAAGGAATACGATGAACAGTGTTCGAAAAAGTAGACAGAATAATAAAATATAGCGATGCGGTGCAATAGAACTTGTCCTAGACAGAGCAATAGCGGAGCCGACCGCTCACCGCGCGAGCACCCGC